GATGCTGTCTGGTACCCGACTTGTCGAGGGGGATTCGATCCCAGACATTGCCGATCGCGGTGGAGGCCGGATCGATGCTCCTAAATGGAATGCCGTCCGGTACCCAACTTGTCGGGGGGTTCAATCTCGGACGTTGCCACGCCCAAAATAGTGGGGTGATGCCTGGCTATGCTGGAAGACCGACAGGAGTTCGGTGTGACCTATGGTGGATCGTTAATAATCTGGACAACTTCGAGTGTTATGTGTATATGGCATGCTTTGTGCTTGATTATGGGATAAAATCGTGAGGCACGATATGGAACGGGCCGAAATGATTTCATCTTATAATCGAGACTCGTGTGAATGATTGAGTATGTCTGGATTATTATTATTGTTGTTGTTATGCATATTGATAGTATGCCATGGTTGTGATGTAATTCGAGATTTTGCATAGTATGTGGTACCATTGTTCGTTTGATAGGAACTTAACCTATTGGTTAGAATTGCATGATTAGGGTGCCGGAGGTACGTATTGCCCTAGTCGAGGCTTAGGTAGTTTACTTATTGAGATTTTATCTCATTCCCCGTTGTTAAACATTTCAGTCCCTCGACCTTGACTATGACTGAGCCTCCACTACGTTTCGAGGTACCAACAGAAACGAAGCATTGGGTGACAGAGTACCCAACTAGTGAGGATAGGGGGTATCAGAAGCATGAGAGTACAGTTTGGGTCGATGATGGTGAGTAGTACTTGACAACTCACAAGTATATGGCTTGGTTTCTGAGGGATGGAGCTTAGACTTTTGGTCCTCTCCGGGGATTTGATATTCCCCCTGACGATGGTTTAGGAGTATGGGATCTTAAGGAGATTGATCCTCTTGATGGAGCTGCAGTTAATCCTGAGTCTGAACCGATGGTTACGGAACCCCCTGTGTGATCCAAGGAATCAGAACCTGAATCGGAGCCTTTGCCGTCTGGCTCTTATAGCGAGGCATCTGACCCGACTTCGCCAGGAGCACCGCCAGGATGTTGTAGAGGTTTTTGATAGGGTTAGAGATCCCTATCTTTTTGGAGCTCCTCTTTTGAATAGAGTAGTGGAGCAGATTGACCACCCTATCCCTTTTTTAGTATGTGTGGTCTGAGTTTGTGGCCTCTAGGAAAGCTTGTATATGTTATCACTATATGTGATGTTAAGTTTATAAAATGGTTTGTTGGTTTGTTTGAATTGTCTCTCTCTATTATCCTATTTGAATGTTTGTTGAATGGAGTGTTCATTTGGCTTCCGCATATATTCTCTTATTCGATGGTAACGGGTCGGCAACAAATCCTGGGAGTCGCATTCTTAACGACCGCGGCGGGATGTGACGTGTTCGTAGGGTACGGGACGTGACAGATTTACCCTAAACTAATGTTTTGACCATAAAAAACCCCAAATTAGTACGTTTGTGATAAATTTATCCTCCATTAAATTGGATTAATATCATGAAAAATCACAAAATGATACATCTGTGACAAACATAAAGTAAAACCCCACACTGGTATACTCGTCAATTGTCATGTGTCATCCAACTCAGAATTTGACTGTAAAATTTAACGGAAATTAACAAAGGGTAAAATTGTTACAGATGTACTAATTTTGGATTTTTCGCAGTCAAAAAATTAATTTTGGATAAATTTGTCACAAGTATATCAATTTAGGGTTTTTCGTGGTATCAACCCTTGAAAATTAAACCTTAAAGGATCATGTCACGCCCTGCACCCACGGGCACGCGAACATCCCATCGTGATCGTTATGTTGCGACGTCGCAGGATGCGTCACCGACCCATTCATTTCATCTTTCAATTATTAGCATGCGGATGTTCCAATCAGCTCCTCTTAAGATTTCTTTTCCCAAAGTCATAATCAGGAGAACTTTAACAGACCGGATTTCTCTGCCTCTATTCTCTCCAGCTGTATATCTGCACTGGGAAGATTCTCAACAGGCTTTACCAATACTTTGAGGAAATTCAATATACTCAGGATCTTGAAGGTATGGAGGAATTATTACCTAATCATTCTACAAACATGCACACATGCAGCACGGTAAAGCTGGTAAGGTGGTGCCTGTAATTAGGATCCCCCCTTCACTATCTTTCCTTAAACGTTGGGCCGGAACACATTGAAAAGGAGCATACTGAACAATTGTTAAAATTTTCGTCCAAAAAAAAGCAATTGTTTTAAAATGAGCACCTGAAATGGATCAGACAAAGAACCAACGTTGACGAATTATTTTTCGCTTTTCAAAGGTCTTTTCTTTGTGTAAATTGTTGAAGTATTAAGTCCAAAAGATTTCCGTGACCCAGAATCCAATTCTGTCTAAAGTACACCTCTTCAAGCAGGCGATAGATCCGTGGGTGTTACTGAGATTTAGTTGAAGAGTTCCATGATGAACAACTGGAACTAAATTCGCCTTCTTAAGTACGCACAAAGTTCACAGCACCGTAAGAAAGTATATGAAATGAATCTAGTCAAAATTACCCTTCTCGTTCACAAACACGTGCCTATTAAAGAACCCCGCAAATATAGTAACATCCTCTCTACAAATTCGAGAACGATCTGGGTCGGCCCGGCGTGATGGGCACCGTCGGAAAGGTCGAGGTGCTTCTGAAATTTGGCTGCTTTCTATTCTCTCTCCAAATTTACTTCAATTAATCGGTGCCTAGAATTTGCCTATGTTTTTCAAAGAGCAAATAAGCAATGCCATTCGACCAAAAAAAAAAAATGAGCAGTGCAAAGTATAGTCTAATATTTTTTCTTTTGCCAAGCAAAAAAAAAATGCTAAGCATATTCTAAAGAATGAATTGATCCAAGTTTTCGAGCACATCCCCATGATATATGGTAATCTCCACATGACAAACTCACCAGCTTATTATTGGAGCGAATGCCCCAAAACTTTAAAAATATTATGACTATTCATCTTTAATATAACTTAGAGACACGAGCATCGAGATCCAACTATTTGAAGATTCATGAAACACATTATCCATAAAACATTCGATAAGTCTTAAAAATCAATTAAGTCCAAGCTTTTGACTCGTGTCTGCCTTAACATGCAATTGGTGCAGTTCGAACAAACGATTTATGCTAGAAATAACCGTAACATCTCATCAAACTTCTCCAGCGATTTTGTTATGATTACACCCCGTACTGAAAATTTTAACAATGAAGCAATCTTCTCGAAAGTGACCCCAATGGGATTGATTGAATGGTCAATTCTTTTATATAGTTGGGACTTATCTCATTATTTTCCGCTTAATTGACTCTTGGGTGTCATGTATCTTACCTTATTGTGGATGTCTCATTCAATGCATGTGAATAGGAATGGATGGTTCGAATTGATCGAATCGAAAGTTCGATGCTCCAAATTTAGAAAAAAAACAAACTTTATAAAGTAAATCAAACGAAATAAACGAACAAGTCTTCTGTCATATGATTAAGGACAAGACCGAGGTCGTTTGCCTTCTTCACATTAGTGATTACCCGACAGAAAAGAACTTGGTGTATCATATAATATACATTATTAGCGCATGCCAAACTTATCTAATAGTCATGTTATAGAATTCAATAGTGTACAAACTATGTTTTGGTAGCTACAGTTCACAATGCACATTTCCATCTTCTCTCTTTCTGCAAATCCAAGTTGTTCAATCGAAAGAACTTACATAGCATATTAAGATCGTGATCAAGAGTTGGGCTTCACAGGTGCTGATATTGCGGCATCAAGCCGTGGGTGTGTTCCTAACTCACTGCAGGCGGAACTCGACGTTGGAGGGGCATAGTTCCGGTACGGTTATGCTGACGTGGCCATGGGCGCGTTCCTTACTCACTGTGGGTGGAACTCGACATTGGAGGGGCTCAGCATTGGTACGATTATGTTGACGTGGCCGATGGGCGCAGAGCAATTTGTGAACGCTAAGCTGCTGGTGGACGAATTGGGCGTGGGAATCAGAGTAGGCAAGGGGTCGGAGAAGATACCGGAGGCGGCGGAGTTGGCCCAGGTTTTGGTCGAGTCATTGAGCGGCGATCTGCCCCAAAAGGTCCGAGCCAAGGAGATAAGCAGTGCGGCTTGGAATGCAATCAAAGGAGGGAGCTCGAATATAGATTTGAGTGACTTCGTGAGGAGCGTAGACGAGCAAAGGAGGAGCAAAATCCTACTTATCATCTTCACGTTCTATATAGTATGTGCCACCGAAGCCACCAACAGCGTCCTGGAACCGCAAGTGATTCGGACTCCACGAAATATAAGATGTTTTATATGAATTGTTCAAGACTAATTGAGGTTTTTACGAATTTGCTTTAAGATCATATTAGGATAAGTATACTGAAAGTTCTAAAATTTATCACGAAAATACAATTAAGTTATAAAACTTACCAAAAGAGAAATCGAGTTTTAAAACTTGTCAAATTTATGCAATCGAATATTTCCGTTAATCCTATTTATCTATCTTAACGGAAAATGCTGACGTCTTTTTTTTATATTATTTTCTCTATCTTACGCGACAATGATGTGACTAAAAATATGAAGCATAAGGCCAAAACAATGTCGTTTTGGTATAAATATGATTTTTTCAATCCAAATGTTATAACTAGCTAAATTTTTTTTAAAAAAAGTGAGAAACCCCTCGCCTGAATTTTGACCTTTTTTTGTTTATTTAAAAGTTAGGTTGTTTTTTAATATAATTTGAATAAATTTTGTATTAAAAAATAAATTTAGCTCAACACGACATCGTTTTAGCTATGTGATCACAAAGTAAGATAGAGGGAAAATAATATAAAAAAAGCCACTTTAGTATTTTTCATTAACAAAGTTGAATAGACTTAATGAAAGGACTTGATTGTATTAATTGGACAAGTTTAGGATTTCCGATGCGCTAATCTATTATTAGATTTTTGCCAACTCGTGATCTTGTAAAATTAGCGAGAAAACCCAATAAAAATCAAAGGGAAAATTTTCAGTTTGAAACGCAAAACAAGATCTGGTTTCATCTCGTCACCTTGTAACAAGCCTCCCCCGCCGTTTCGGGCTTCTTGTTCAAATCCTCTCTCGGTTTCTCGGATCCTCCTTCCCGGGCGATGGCGACTCCGCCTTCCCTCGCAACTCTCTAATCTAAACATGGCGAGCTCCGCCACCCCCACCGCGCCGTCGAGCAAGCGGTCGAAGAAAGCCCCGGGCGACGACGACGAGCGGCCTCCTCCGACGGAGGAGGTCTCCGACGGCGTGTGCTGCGGGATCTGCCTGACGGATGGGGGAAGAGCCGTCCGGGGTCGAATCGACAGCTGCGACCACCACTTCTGCTTCGTGTGCATCATGAAATGGGCCAAGGTGGAGTCCACGTGCCCCATGTGCAAGCGCAGGTTCTCCACCATCCGCAGGCCTCCGAAGGACGGCGCCTTTGCCGACGAGAGGATCCTGAACATCCCGCCCCGTAACCAGGTCCGTTCTGATGTTTTCGAATTCGGGTAGATTGCGTTTTGGGTTATGACAACTGGGTCCTCTTTCTTTCCCGGGCTTGATCAGCAAAATTCATTGCTTTGATCGGGCTCCTTATGGCAGAGTAATTGGCTTTGCTTGGTTCCTTTGATCGAAATTGGTTAACAGGATTCGAGCTACAGTCTGTCTTGCGGTTCAAGGGTTTGAGATGAATGTGTTTAATTTAATTTTGGCTATGTTTGTTTCGCGGAAAATGCTCTGTTTCTGGAATATGTTTTTAATGACTAGTTTATCATCCGTGAAATGAACAAGTTTTCCTGATAGTTGTTTTCCATCAAACAAAAAAAAAAATCAATTGAAAGAAGCGATTTGCTATGTGTTCTTTTGCAGGTTGATGATTTACATAGAATCGGATCTTTTAATCCTTATAGGGAAGCTCAGTGTGCTGTCTGCCGAGGCACACAAGATAAAGGGTATCTGTTGATTTGCGAACTCTGCGATTTGGCTTTTCATACTTACTGTGTAGGCTTGGGTATCACTATACCCCAAGATTGGTCTTGCCCTGAATGTGCTTTTATGAGGGACGAACATTCAAGAATTGATGAAGGAGAGAGCTGCATTGGACATGTTTCGATGCAGTCGCCAATTTCGCTATTTGACATCCCAAGAGATAGAAGGGCCTGTAACTACTGGGGGTGCACAATCAGACTGAATATCCCTAACTTCAGGGGGTCCACAACCAGACTGAATATCGTAAGAGATAGCGGGGCTTCTAACGTTGGGCGGCCAGAGTGAATATCATAAGAGATAGCGGGGCATCTGACATTGGGCAGCCCTCAACCGGAGTTTCGATAGAGTTTCGGCTCGGGCAGCTGGCCACTCTAGAAGAGATGACAGTGCAAAAAGTGAAATCCAATCTCTTAATTTGAAGTTGCTTAGCCGCAATAAACTGGTTATGTTTGATAAGCAAACTCTACTTATTTATGGTTTTCAGTTAGTGATAGATCTGACAAAACGAACATCTCCAGTGCGTAATCTTGATCGACTTTCTTTGGGGATCGTATAGATGTATCATGCTTCCTGGTGGCAGATTTATGTTTTGCTTCTGTAAGGTTCCTCTTGAATGCTTCTACGGGCTTTTGCGTGACCAATTGCATGTGCTGTTTCAGTTGGTATATCTTGCTTTGCCTTAACATGTTAGGAAATATTACCGACAAAACAGCATGTGTAACACGATAGGAGTAGAACCTGTTTCAGTTGAACTGACCGTTCTGGGTATCATTCTTCTGTTGTCTAATTGCTTGGATCTTACTATCTCAACTTACTCTAAATATCTCAATTTTTCAATTTTTGAAAACTCGTTATTAATTGTACTCTCTTCATTCTTGTCTTTTAATTGTAGTTTCTCATTCATTGTCGCTCCTGCAGGAGTTGATGCATTCAAAGAAATCGCTAGAGCGGCGACCCACACCATACTGGCTGCGTGTGGCTTGGAGCGGCCCAAGTCTGTCATCCCCAGCTCCATGTGTCGTCACACCGATTGCATTCGGAGGCTCCACAAGTCTACTCTCATGCCTAATTCCTGCAAAGAATGCTTCTATACCTACGTAAAGACCGTCATCGACACCCTTCTGCTCAACAAGCTAAGTAAAGCTAATTAAAGTACATTTTTCCCCCATTACCTATGCCGCATCCGCATTTATAGGAATCGCCATGGTTTTTGAAGGGAGAATTTGTGGGCTCCTCACTGGGTCATGGAGTGACCATGTTTAGTCTATACAAATTTCTGTTGTTCTCTCTCTGTGAAAAAAGCTCTAATGTTTAAGAGAGTAACCATCAATGACCAAGTTCACTGCAGAGCAAATGGGATGTGACTGCAGCAAACGAGAGTGACATAGAACGCGAAGAATGCATCTAATCTTATCATCAAATCAAATGGGTCCATTCGTGGTCCTTGGCAACGAAGGAAAAAAAATGAGATTTGCGTTTTGTTCGCTTTTTCTGAGAACGAAAGCGAAATCAAAATGTAGGTGGGGGTGGGGGAATAATGTCGATGTACTTCGTTGAGAGTCCCATCGACATCTGCTGCCGGTTCCTAGTTGCTGCCACCGTTGGTGGAGGGGCACGTATCGGGATGTCGAGGTGGCCGCGATCCAAACGTTTGGACCAGGGCGGATTTAGTCTGGCGAGTGAGGCATGTTAAAAGGAATTAGAAAGTTCTTCTCTCGTGTCGAGTGGTAGGGCTTTTATGAGATACCCACAACAACATATTTGCTCATCGTACGAAATCGGTACAGCTAACCAAGGAGCTCAAGAGCCGTGGAGAACTTATTTCATGTTACGGATGCATCACACGTCGCCTATCGATCGAAAGTGAAATGTATAAACGCATGTCCTCAAGCAAAACAAGATTCACAGCACATAAAGAAACGTTTGGCCTTTTTCAGGAGAGAGAGAGAGAGAGAGAGAGAGAGAGAGAGAGAGAGAGAGAGAAAGAGAGAGAGAGAGAGAGAGAGAGAGAGAGTCCAAAGGAGCTCCGCCCTTTCCGGTTACAGCTCAAAACAATACAATGCGACCCAACCCAACCAGGCTCAAAAGCTCTTCCACTCAAAACAACAGAGACAGAAGAGAGAGAGAGAGAGAACCCTTGAGGCACGAGAGATAGCGTGTGATCGATTAGGGTGCTGGAGGGTTTTTGGCTCGGAAATTAGATATCGCAAGTTCGAATCTTACTAACTATATGCATAAATTCTAATTCTACAATAAAAAAATGCATAAAACCTTTGCGTAAAGATTAATTTTATATTAATCAACAAACCAAAAAAATTATTATTATTATAAAGCTTTGCCCGAATTTAATCAATGCTGAATCCTAACGACATATAAAGCTTTGCCGCAATCTAATCGATGACGAAGATCTGTAAACAATAACTAATATGTACACTGAAAAGTAATCGACGACAAGATATCTAAAACTACATCAAAGGTGCATAATTTGAAAGATTATTGAAAGGTACAAGGACTGAAAGATAATTAAATGATAACGGGTTTTTTTGTTGATTGATTAGGGTTGTGTTTACAAAGAGTATGATATGGCTATCTAAAACCTACAATCGACGTTACAAACGGAGGTTACAAACAGTCATTGAATTTAAAAAGATGACAGCCTAGTCATATCTTCAAAACAAATAACTTCCTCATTATATAAAAGAACTTAAATATCCGAAAATATTGCTACTAAGCAGTTACGTCAAGTTGTCGATTGATCTTTTCATTGACGACTTGTGTTGTTAACCGAGCTCTGCTCTCATCAACTAAATTTATCAGTTATCAATTATTAACCAAAAGTTGGTCAATTTTTGGCGTAAACAAATTCTAAACAATTACTCCCAGGTGAAAGTCGAACTCATCTCACAATTGAGAGCATATTAAGTATACTTACTTAAATAACAATAATAAGGAATGTATACTTTCCTATTTAACCCGTTTTATACCTTCCTAAAGTATTACTAGTTTATCTGTTTGGTTTACTTTTAATCACTAAATACATTAATTTATAGATGAATGAGATAATTACTTAATGATTTGTAAGTTTTAGAAGAAAATTGGTTCTTTTTGGTAATATAACTGGTTAGGTTTGTGTTTTGGGATATTAATCAATGAAATCAAAATGTATTTCAACCCATCATACAATCCGAAATCTCGATTATTACTATATGGCCCAAGTTACAATTACAATTTAATCCTACTCTTTATCCTTCCCGAGGCAGAGCGAGCATGGAATCTCTCTTTCTCGAATTGAAGTTTTATTTTTATTTATTTTTGTTAGATTTTAATAATATCCCAAGTTTAGAAAGATGTGTAATAATGAAAAGATTAGGGGACCAATATGTGCTACTTCCAAACTTTAGCGGACTTAGTGTAATTAGATATTTCTCATTAAAAGACGAATAAATATCTAACTTTTGTCCTTGGAAATCATGTGCATCGCACATTTTGATAAGAAAATAGAAGTTTAGGGGATGTTGTAATGGTCGAAAATTAAGGGTATATTTATAATATTTAATGGGGTTTTATGTAATTTTCTTAAAAGAAACGGAAAGAGAGGATGAACACAGCCATGGAAGAGAGGGAGAGAGCTTTTCGGCCTTTGATGCACTGATGATCCAACGACAGATTGTGGTGGGCTATGAGCTTTTCACACTATCTAATGAGGCGATAGAACTAGAAGAGTCCTAATTATCCGATTGTGGTGGGCTTATCGTCTTGGAATCTCCAGGTGACTTTCTTTGTGTTATCTTTATCTTTTAATATTGAAAAAATCACTTTCAACGAGTGGTGTTCGTGTTTGGTAGATGCTTGAAGTTCACCCTCTATCGCGTTCACCGTCAGCATCAATCCTAGGCTCGCTTTGGCGCCAGCCTAGGCGGGGAAGCCGACGACCATGGAGAGGAGTGAACTTTTAGAGTTTCGATCAGAGCTCCAATTTGGTACGAAGGAAATTGGCAATTTGGCTTTACAATGGGAATGTTTTGGACAAAATCAGCAGAGCTCCTATTTGAGACTAAATTGACCTCTTCTGAGCATTATTTGAGACTAAGGCTGCGCATGACAACTTGCCAAACAGTGTTTGATTCTGTTCTTTTGTTCCCAGAATCAGTTTGGGAACAGAAATGCGTTTGTTTAATTTTTTGATTCTGGGCACAATTTTGTCAAAAAGTGTTCCCAGAATCGAGTTTTGGAGCAGAATCAAGAATAAAAAAAAAGTAGCTTCTTGATTCTGGGAACAATTTTGAGAATCAATTTTTTTTTCTTCTTCCTTTTCTTGGTTTTTAATTTAGTTTCTAATGTCCGGCCCGAGGACCGCCACTCGCCTCATCTGACGAGAATAAAATATTTTAATAAAAAATATTTTACCGGCCATGGCCGGCGACCAAGCCATGGCCATAAAAAAGAAAAAAATATATTTTTAATAAAAAATTATTAATAAAAAAAATTATTAATAAAAAAATATTTTACCTGCCATGGCTGGTGATCAGGCCATGGCAAAAAATATATATATATTTTTAATAAAAAAATATTTTACCGGCCATGGCAAAAAAAAATAAAAATGTATATTTTTAATAAAATTATTAATAAAAAAAATATTTTACAGGCCATGGCCGACGATCAGGCCATGGCCAAAAAAAAGAAATATATATATTTTTAATAAAAATACTTTAATAAAAAAAATATTTTACCAGCCATGGCCGGCGACCAGGGCGTGGCCAAAAAAAATAAAAATGTATATTTTTAATAAAAATATTTTAATAAAAAATATTATTAATAAAAAAATTATTTTACCGGCCATGGCCCAAAAAAATAAAAATGTATATTTTTAATAAAAATATTTTAATAAAAAATATTATTAATAAAAAAATAATTTTACCGGCCATGGCCGGCAACCAGGCCATGGCCAAAAAATAAAAATATATATATTTTAATAAAAAAATTTATTTTACCGGTAATGGCCGGCGACCAGGCCATGGCAAAAAAAAAGAAAAAATACTTTTAATAAAAATATTATTAATAAAAAAAAAAATTTAGCGATCATGGCCGGCAAGCAAGCTATGGCCAAGAAGGAGGAAAAGAAAAAAAGAAAAGAAAAAAAAAGAAAGAAATATTAAAATATTTAAAAATATTATTAATAAAAAGAAATTTTGTGGCGTTACCAAACGCATTTACATTCTTTTTCTATTCCAGGGGATGGAATTTTGGGCCGTTAACAAACGCCTTAAAATGCTCAGAATCAATTCCGGGCACAGAATCAAAAAGAATCATTTCTGAGCAGAATCTGTTCCCGGGCACAGAATCGTTGTCATGCGCAGCCTAAATTGGTTACTTTGTAGCTGGACCAACGGAAAGAAGAAAGAGGTGACCAGACTGTGCGAAACCTGTGGAGGACAAGATCATGGACATTACGTCATTTTGAGAAGTTTTTGCAGGAGAAGACCGAGGTCGATGGAAAGGCCGATTTGCCGCCGATGCCCTCGGTGACGTTGTCGCCGTCACAAGGGACAAGACCAAGATTACTGTCGGCTTCTGACAGTAGTTTTTCCAAACGGTATCTGAAGCAATTGACAAAGAAGTACTTCAAGAAACACGGCCTAATTCTCCAAAAATTCATCA